AGCCAATGTACATTGAACTTAACCTTAACAACTTTTCTGAATAGTTTAGAAAATTATTGGAAAATTCCTATCCTGTTAACATTGCTTTCATATAACAAGAGCAGATCTTGTGAACTCATTAAAAGAGGCAGCGTGAATACTGCAAGTCTTACTTCAGCTCTCTCTCTCTCTCTCTCTCTCTCTCTCTCTCTCTCTCTCTCTCTCTCTCTCTCTCTCTCTCTCTCTCTCTCTGGTTACTAGTGAATAGTCCCACACGCAGACAACTGCCTTCCTTTTTAATTCTTTTTAATACTCATTTGTGAAGGCCCGGTATTTCTCTTTTTATATATTACACTTTCTTGCTAAGAATGTGGTATCAAAGCGATGCTAATTAAAGTCAGCGAAAATTAAATATTTACCTGCCACTACACCAACCAATCAACCAAGACAATTTTAAGCATTTGGAACTTATAAAACACCAGTAATGTTGTATTTAAACAGACATCTAATAGCATATAATATAAGTTACGATCGATGTTAAGTAGAGAAATGTTTGAGTGTCGACAAATTGAAAAAGATGGCGTACAATTTCTTCTTCTTCCGCTGAGCCGGAACGCTGTCACAATAATTAGAGGTTAGATTAAGCCTTATTGTATGTGTTTATAGTACACAGCTATCTGTCAGAACCTATATGGTTAAGTTCCAAAATGATTGCATTTCTGGAAAGATAGTAAACTATAGCATTTGCTACTTACAAACCAGATCACCAGATATACTTTTATGGAGCTTGTTTAGTTATACGTAAGGAAGACACACTTGAACACCTTTTGTACTACTATTCTAATATTCATTCACAGTATTCATCGTTCAGTTCATAATATAGTCTTTAAAGTTTAATAGTATGTAGATTTAAAATTCTTTATACTTCAGTCCTTTATTTCCCATCTAGTTTGAAAAATTTGTCATTCACCATCGTCAGTAAAATCATCTCTAATTTTTTAGTAATTATTTAAATTATTTATTATAATTTTATAACATTAAGATTAGTTTTATTTATAAAATATATTTTTAAAAATTGGCATTAAGTCAAATTGACCAAAGCCAACCAGTCTTCTTGTGGTAATGTAATTCTTCGTAATCATACTTTATTTTTTTCTATATACATTTCTATGATGTATCAATATAACTTGTGAGTACTAGAAAAGGTTACCTTTACTTTACTATATGCATCGTTATAAAGAACAAAACAGTTTATGTTGTTGTAAATCACAAAATTTTGAGAACCCTAAATCAAATGTAGACTGGAACGCTTTACATTTGTGAGTTCATTCCTATAAGTGTGATTTGTTTTTTGTATATTTCACTTCCTTTCGACATATTGTTTTTTTTTGTTTTTTTTTTAATAGAACAAAATCATATGAATAAATCTGATTGTATAAGAACGGTTGTGGAAGTCCTTAATTTTTTAAATGAAAAGCGATAAGGTAATACTTTGTTTTAAATGAAGCCCAATCGAATTTCTTTATCCAAACAAAAAGTTAATCAAGATATAGAAATATTTTAATTCATTTCGTTAAAAAATAATTTAATATGAAATTATAATCACTTTTCTCGAAAAACATATTTTACATACCCATAAATGCTTCCTAACTTGTGTCAATATTAAATAATTATCTAACTTAGATCATTGCCAGGCAGTGGCGTAACTACATTTTTTAGGCCTGTAAGCAAATTCTAACTAAGGGGCCCCTATCAACATACTAAGGGGCCCCTCTTTTTATACTCTTTACACGAAAAATGTGAAAAGGGTATATAAGGTTTGTCAAGATTTTCGTGACGCATTAAAGGAAACGTCGGAAATACCATTAAGTATATATCAGTACAGTATATATATACTTTTTCAGTTCAAACTACTCTCTCAGCTTTTGAACTCTTCGAATGAAGCTTTGCACACATACTTTTAGCCGACCCTATTCACCATTTGATTTGATTGAAATTGGAAGTCTTGTAGCTGTGATATAAACTTAACAATCGGATATGAGGTTTCTCCGTTTTTAATAAAGGTGTTTAAATAGAATTTGGTGTATACAATACTGATATTTGCAAAAGACAACGTACAAAATTATTTTCAAATGGGTTTAAATCTAGATATAGCTTCCATATAAACTCTCGATTAAGACACATACTTTTCTTAGAAAAACTTTTTTATTTTATATTTAGGTTTAATATTTTATTTGAAGTACATACATATTATGTACATTAAATTTAAAACTTACGTATCTTTTATAAAATGCAATATGAAGTTATTCCAACAAAAAACGTTTACAAACATTTATAGTGGGGCCCCCTAAATTCGGGGGCCCGAAAGCGTTGCTTCCAGTTGCTTCCCTGTAGTTACGCCACTGTTGCCAGGAGAAGAATATTGGCACGTGGATTGTCATTTTCGGTGTTGTTACTATGATTAATCTTCTGCTGATATTAGGAAACCCGTAATGAAATACATTCTGACCATTAATCAAAACGCTAATGTCTTCTATTCAGTGGAGGAAAATTGCTACCACACAAGACCTTCTTAATGAGACTCATTCCGGTCGTCATTCGAAACGATAACGATATTTAAATATTTAATTTAATTTGAGCGTGTAATATTTAAAGAATTACCAACGGAAACAAAACAAAAATTTATCCGTTCATTTCTAATTTATTAACATATTTCGTCCACTAATTTAATTCACTGAATAATTCCTTATTCCTCATACAATAACATGGTTATAATTTAGGTTAGAGGGATTATATACATTTTTAATGAAGAAACTAAGAATGAATATCCATATTATATTAAACTCAATATATGTCATATGAAGTTACGTACGAGATTTATTCATAAAACGAAATAAACTGAACGAGAATTATAAAATAGCTAACGCAACATACTTAGCGTACGTCTTCGTCTTTACTTCGTATTTGACTTCCTTCGTACGCGTGAACTATAAGCAATGTGAGCATTCGCTCTAATATTAGAATTTTTTTATATGGTCTTATATGTATGTCTAAGCAAAGTATGTTACGTTAGCGATTGGTTTGATTGTTGACTTCACAGCAAAATCTAAGTGATTTTAAATAAAATAAAAGTTCCATAGTTTATATGTCTGAACAGACATGTTTTTCTCATTCCGTGTACCTTTTCAAAATTCATAATTTTTTAATAGAAGCTAATCAGCTTCTGTGATTATATTTTTATGTTTTTGATATAAACTAAACCTTATATAAATAATTTTTAACAAAACTTTCTGGCGTAAAACAGCAGCTGTTGCATATAAATCGGCTTTAACATTTTTCAATTCAATTTAATTCAATTGAAATTATCTCACATAAGAAAATAATTCCATTTTTAATATATTTAATTAATATTAAAATTTCATTTAACAAATACATAAATAGACTCAACATGGTAACTCTATCAGTTCGCGAACTGAAATTAGTAGAAGCGCCATCTTACGACAAAGTTTTTCTTCAATGTGATTTTCTAAGTACAGGGTTGCTTTGCGTGCATATAAATTCTTTTAATATTACGAATTTGGCAGAAATCAATTAAAATTATTTTTAAAATATAATTTAAGCATAAGTATTTACCCTCCACACGAAATAAAAATTTTTTTGAACAAAATGGTTGAGTATAAAAATTAAATAATTCTAAGTTCAATAAATATAGTTTTATATGTCAATCCCATTATAAGAATATAAAATATATTTTATTATAAACAAAAAAATTAAAAAATTAATTTTAATCGTTTTTATATTACTTTTATCTTGGTTTTGCAGTTCCTTTTTAAACTAACTTTCTCACTTTGTACAGTTGAGGAATACACCAACTGGAATGAGGTTTCAGCTTTTGACATTTACACTACGTTTACACTGTGAGCTTAAGAGAACGGGATTAAGTTCATTTAAACTTTTAATTTACACCGTTTACATTATACATTAAAGATTAATGTTGCAGTTTCTCTTGGTGTGTTCTGTTTCGTGTGTTAAATAAATTTCTCTAAATAAAACAATTTAATTACAACTATGTACAAAAAAATTTTAATATAAATTTAATAAGTAGTCTTATAACAAAAATTTAAAAACTTTTAGTTATGATTATGTATAAAACTATTATTATTAAATAAATTTAATAAAAATTTCACTCACTTCAGCATTTTCAAATTTTCAATATATATTTTGAACAGACTTTGAAATTTCTTTTCCAATTTTAAGATCGTAAAAAAATCTACGATGTTAAGACATTTGCAGAGTTGCACAGAAATATAACCAAAATTTCTAAAGAAATTTAAAATCAATTTCGACCAATCCGAGATTAACTTTTGTATGGGAAGTCTGTGATTAAAATACTAATTTAGTGCCTTAATCTCGATGCTTGATTTAATCAGCTTATAATCTCACAATGTAAACGCAATATTATGGTTTAAAAGCTGAAATTTGTTTAATTTGCATTTTTAAAAAATAATTTTAGTGTGTTCATGTCTCACACTGTGACTTTCGATACATTCCACCTACCGGAAGAAAAACAAACAATAATATTTACATAACATATATCACGGAACTAATCTATACAATTACCTTCAGGGAACTCAGTTCCAAGGGAACATCTTGAGGTTCCTGAGGATGGCTATCGAAGGTAGCCGAAATATTGGAACAGTATTTCAATAAAATATATTTTGTTTAAATATGAATATGAATATAAATTATAGTTTTAATTTAAAAGATGAATTAGCACGCTTAAAAATTATTATATATTTTTGGCGCCAAAAAAAGAAAGAATAAAATATAACGTTTTTAGTTACTTTATACATTTCTTTTAATTATTTTGGAATATGAATGAAAACAAGTTGAAAACTGTCTAATACTAAAATCAAATGTATTTATAACAACCCTGGCTATCGTAAAATAGCTGTCAGATTTCGTTTAAATTACAAAGTAGGCAGAATTCATTTGAATTATGTGAAAATATACTTCCAAGTATTCAATTCTAATTCAAATAAACTAAGAAGAGCAATCAGTATATTTGATTTGTACATATATGTTCAGGTATAACTTATTTTGATAAAAAAATTTAAGTGGCAATACATAAGAAAGGTTTGAAATTACTGTGTATGTATAAAATATACTTTTATTAATTAAAAATATTTAAAAATTATGCATTAATTTGTTTGTTAAAATATAAATAAAATAAAACCGTTTAATTTAGAATATAAGATATCAAAAAAAATAATTATAAGGTAAATAAATAATTTTAATAGAAGAACAAAAAATGCAACAATGAAATTAAACTGACGTTTCGCGTTTTGTTTTTGTTTATTTCCTTTTGTATTTCATTGGCTCTGCTCAGGGTTAAAACGAGTGCATTGAAAATGTAGTTGTGTACAAAAAATTTTATTAAATAAATTTGTGAATTGAAATGAAAACACAAAAAACTAATTTTGTTTAAGCTGTCAGCTCGACAGTTCCGTTTCATACTTGAAAATGTAGTTTTCGAACAAAGAATTTAGTTTACAATTCGTCAAACTCTAGTGCAAGTGTTTGATAATCTCAGTTGGTTGGCATGAAGTAGTGCGGATACATGCAAATTTTTCAAGTCAGAAAAGAGAAAAAACTTATTTACAAGCAATAACAATTGAATTTACTTATACGCTGGTTGTGACAGAATTTAAAACTAAAACTAAAAATTAATGTTCAAAAAATTAATTGTTTCTTGTTTAAAATATTTTGTGATTGTATGAAATGCAAAGTAAAAATTTTGAATTTTGTTGTGAGTTTTCTGTGTATATTTTCTTGCAAATAACTTCAATTTGATAAATTAAAATTTGATATGAATTAATAAAATTCATAAATAAAATTTGGTTAACAGTAAAAAATAAAACCATTCAAACTATTGAAATTAAAGTAAAAGTAAAAAAGGAAAAAAAAAACTGAAACAAAACAACGACAGCGCTGCCAAGTGCTAGCAGCTGATTTATCGTTCGCTCTCTGCGGATATAACAAATGTTAAGGGTGAGCAAATTTATTATTTTTGTTGTTGTTGTTGCGTTCTGTTAGCATGCAGCGGAACATTGCTGTTTCTTTTTCTGATTTTTTTTCTTAGCTTAAGTGAAACACTACAGTCGGTGTTATACGGTGCGTGATATTTAGTTGTTAAATAGTTTATTTATATTGCCAAAATTACAAATATATATATATTATAAATATATATATATTATAAATATATATATATTATAAATATATATATATTATAAATATATATATATTATATATATATGTTCTTTTTAACAGAAGAGTTGCAATTTGTTTATTTTATATTGTAATTTATTATATTATATGATATCATGTATAATGTTTTTGAAAATACTAGAATCTTAAATATCGTTAATTAAAAGATATATGTTAAGCATATTGAAAAACCTGAGATAAATCGTGAAGGAGGGAAAATTTACACTGAACTAAAGTGTTGAAAATAAAAATATATTTTTAATGTTCGAACAGACGTGTCATTTATGTTTTAGTTCCACTATATATTGATATTATTTATTTATTTATTATTAACTTAACATTGTTATTTCAATAACAAGTAAAGAAATGGTTATTGCTATAACAGCATGAGCCTTAAGCAACTACAATGATTTGATTATATTTTGGTATTATTTCCGTAATAAATGTATTAAGTTTATTATATGTTTTTGTATTTTAACAGTCAGGTCTCTTATTTTTAAACATACATATATATATGTATATAAATATACTTCAATATTATATATAAATATAGTACATATTTTATTATATATATTTTTAAAGAAAATTTTGATATTTTAGTTCAAAAAGTTTTATTTGGAAGTATGATTTGTATACAAAATTAGTTAAAACTTAACTATACTAAACCGCTTGGTTATATTGTTTTATAAGTCATATGTAATATACCTATAAGCTATATATTTTATGACATATAATAAGAGATATCATGTATATGAAAGGATAATGTTTACATGATTTTAGGATTCATATAAACATTATATTTTCATATACATATTTGTTGTCATATGTCATAAAACATATAGCTAATATATTATTACTTATAAATCAATATAAGTGCTTGCTTTAGTTTAATTCAGTTTTAACTAATTGCGTATATAACATCATACTTTTAAATAAAATTAATTTATTGAACTAAAATATCAATATTTTATATAAAAATCAAGAATATATATATACATACATCTTTAAAAAAAGTTGACGCATATCTGTTAAAATACAAAAATATGATAAATTTCATACATTTCTAAACATATATATATTTATATAATTTATATTTCTTGAATAAAATAAATTATTTTATAAATTCCACAAACTAAAAAAAATATTCAATTGAAAAATTCACTCTATTGATTACGCCTTCAAATCTGTTATAATATAAATTTGCATATTCAATAACTTTATTTTTCTTTTTCCATTCAATTAAATATAATTTTATTTTTAAATAATATAGAAATTGAATTTTATGTGGTAAATTATTTCATTTATTAACATATATTAACTTAACTTGAAAGTTATGGTATGGTCGTCGACAAACTTACCTTGTTAAAACCTTTGTAGCCTATGTAACTAATATAATACATCCGACTTAAATGTTGTTCATTAGTCTGTTTTCATTACTTTTCCTGAAGTTACTATAATTTATGGTTCATGCAAAATTATGAACATTCACTGATTGGACATCTACATGGGTATTCAAATTTACCGTTAGTGACTTAATATTTTTATTATAAATGATAATTCTTCTTGGTAATAATAGCTCTAACATTAATCTTAGGCTAGCATAGTTAGCCTGAACACTTTAATTCTAGTAAAATAAGAATCTGGTATTATTCTGAACAGTTTCGAAATATATATTTATTTGTTTTATGCAATTGTTTCATTCTAACTGAGCCAAGACACATTAAAAATATTGATATCTTCTCTATTTTTTATTAGACTTTGTAGTCTTATAAGATTATAAGCATATCTTTATATATTTAACTATATTTGGAACTATTCTTTTATCTATTCTGCAAGATTATCTACCTCTAAAATTACGGTATAAGATGGTGCAAATTGGATATATATGTCTGCGCTATTGAAAATTCCATAGAAGTCTTTGCTATTGTGTTTGTTTAGTCAAAATTCGTTTTCTCTTATAACATTGTCACAGTATGAGTTCGATCAGTGTTGATATAGTTGCCTCAGTTTTTGTTGAGCGTTTTATTTTATCATTTATTATATTAGTTATATTTTGTTATAACTTAAAAATCTTTAGTAAAGCTTAGGAAGAAATATACATTCTATTTTCACACACCATTAAAATTTGTGTATCTGTTTTTTTAATAATTAACAACATCTAATAGATAAGATCTGACCTAAAAACGTATTATTTTGTTAAAAACTTGATTTTATTTTTTAATATAATTTCCTTTAACATTTTTTGAAAGTTTTCATCCCTTTCTTATAGAATGAAAATGCAGGATATTTTAAAAAAGTAATATTCTCTTTGTTAACTGCTTTTAAATATTAATTATTTAGCATAAGAAAGTTTTCTAGGCTCACTTGTTCAAAAAACGATCTGTTAATAATTCAGATCGTTTTTTGATGGCCTATAAGTAAACGTGACATTCTCTTTGTAAACAGCTTTTAAATATTAATTTTTTAAAATTATTTTTGATTTCAGCTAGTTGTTAAAATCAAAATTTTTTGATAATTTTCGGTGAATTGATTGATATAAGCTATCAAAATAAATTGAATTATGCATTCCCCTAACAATCGGCGTCATAGTATTTTTTCGACTGTGTTAAAATCAACATATGAATTAGAGATGATTGTTTCCTTGCTGCAAATTCCCTATATAACTAATCTAGACCGGAGAAATATAAAATGCATGCTCCAAAAACAGTTGAAACTGGGTTTGCAGTATATTTTGTTATTACATTATAATTTATTGAAATTTACTGTATTTTATACTCTCAAGAACCAATTTTCAGTCAACTTATGTACAAGGTTATCTTATGTGTATGTTTATTAAATTATCGAAAAATTATTGAATTATCCACCAATTGTTAAAAAATTAAAGGTTATTTAATGAGTCTCCCTGGTTCTTTGAAACATAAAACTGAATACTTTTACTTTACTTATCTTAACCGTGCTGTATCTAGTATTCATGATGGCAAACAGGTTATTTTGCTACCTATAAAACAAATAAATTTATAAATATATAAATATATATATCAAATTAATCCATTTTTAAATCCATTGGTTTTATACTATACTAACAATTTTTTTTTTAAATACGAAATGGATTTTAGCACTAGGCTTTGATTAGTATTCTTGTTTTCATGATGGCAATCAGGTTGTTTATGAGTTAGCTTGTTTTATATATGTACATATATATATCAAATGAAACCGTTTAAATTAATAAGTTTTATACTATTATGATTACACAAATTCTTTTTAAAATGAGAAATGGATGTTAGTGCCAGGCTTTAATTTCAATAGAGTGTTAAAAGTATTATATTGTTAAAATGCATATATTGTTATATTTCATCAGTTGCTTAGATTATGTGACCTTACTTTAATCAGTTTAGTGAATCGGGGCGTCTCTGAAATAGAAATTGTGCTACATATGTATTTTATTTTGAATATATATATATTGTTATATATTTTAATAAACTTGACAGTGTATAATGGTTTAGGATACTATACGGGCGTTTAGACATGTGTCATCTTACCACTTTATCGAATACTGAGTTACCGAGAAACATCTGTTTGCCCCAATGTTTTGAGGTCGTTGTGCAACCGTTTTTATTAAAATATTTGTGAATATAAAACATTATAATAAAATTTTAACTAACATAATTAATATAAGACAATTAAATTGTATATTTATTTATAAATGTACAAGACAAATATATAAATTTTTTTTTTTATAAATAATTTATTAATAATATTCGCAATAAAAATTATTTCAAATCGAACATAACAAACTAAAATGTAGGGCAATCGTTTTGGTCATTATTTGTTTGTCATGACAAATTTTATAACGGTAAACTATTAAGAGTTTTCTTTGTTTTTTCTTTAATTGCTGTTTTTTTGTTTTTTTTTTGTTTTTGACAGATTATAATTTCTTCACTCTGACGTACGGTAAACTAGATCCGATTGCACTATTCGCTCTCATTCAGTTTCAGTTTCGATCGTGGCCGAGCGCTAGGAATTTAGGAATTGCGTGCGAAATATAATCGAATTGAATTCGTTCTCGTCCAAGCAATGCAGTTTTTTATGTCAATACGCATCGACAAATCGCGGCCATATTGCGTACCAACAAATTCGATTGTTCGCTGAGATCAACAATTGCGTTTTTTAGCTTAAAATTATTTGCACGAAAATAATTTAATTTAAGGTGCTTTCGCAAATGACTTAAATAATTTTTATTCTATGTAAAATTCATTTTATGTATTTGAACAATTGCAGTGGAAGTTTCTGTGAAGTGAACAACATAAATTATTGGTTAAAATTAATAATCAAATCGGAAAAGGACAATTTACAAAAAATTGTGTGGAAAAAAAATATGGGATATATTCTTCGCTGTGGATCAGCTTTCGTCATCATTCAATTATCGGTAAGTTTTATTTCAAAAAATTACATATAACATTAAAAATTTAATAACAAAAGTGAGATCAAGAATTATAATTACTTCTCTATATATATATACATACATATAAGTATATGTATTACATTCATATGTATGTGTTCGTATGCAAAAACAGTGTTGATTGTAATTGATGTGCCAGAAATCGAAGGGTTTGTAAAACGCTAGACAAAAACTCTTACAGTAGCCTATAACAGTAATGGGACACTTTTGAAAAGAAAATATTCCAAATAATTTTAATAAATTTGTGAAATTAATTTCAATATATTTGTGAAAATGATTTCAGAAGATGTCTTAAATATAATTTTATTATCACTTCATAAAATAATTTTATATCATTTTATCCCATTATAATATAATGGGACATTTTAAAAAGAAAATATTTATATCAAAATTGCAAATAATTTTGAATAATCTTAATAAATTTGTAAAAATGACTAGAAAATGTCTTAAATATAATTTTATTATCACTTCATAAAATAATTTTAAATCATTTTATCCCATTATAATATAATAGGACATTTTAAAAAAAAAATATTTATATCAAAATTGCAAATAATTTTGAATAATCTTAATAAATTTGTAAAAATGGCTAGAAAATGTCGTAAATATTATTTTATTATCACTTCATAAAATAATTTTAAATCATTTTATCCCATTATAATATAATAGGACATTTTAAAAAGAAAATATTTATATCAAAATTGCAAATAATTTTGAATAATCTTAATAAATTTGTAAAAATGGCTAGAAAATGTTTTAAATATAATTTTATTATCACTTCATAAAATAATTTTAAATCATTATATCCCATTATAATATAATAGGAAATTTTAAAAAGAAAATATTCATATCAAAATTGCAAATAATTTTGAATAATTTTAATAAATTTGTAAAAATGACTAGCAAACGTCTAAAGTATAATTTAATTATCAATATTAATCGAAAGCCAACAAATTTTATAATAATAAATTAATTAATAATAATGAAAAAGATAAAAAATTAATAATAAATTAGTTAATAAAAATTTTATTAACCCTTCATGTACATAGAAAAGTTATATTTGGTTAATAAAATAAAAATTTGAAGCTGACTGTTGAGCTTCAACAACAACTGTTGTTGTTGTAAGGCTTACATTAATGGATGCCTAATGTCAAGACAAGCAATTACCTGTTGATTAAAGAATGATTAGTGAAACTTAATATTCTGAAACACCAAGCAGTTCTGATTCTACCAGTCCAGTAACAAAATACTTGTTTGCCATATGTTCTTAATAAGAGCGATAATATAGTGCACGGTAATTGATTGTCTGAGAAAAAATCAGTAATTTCAGGACAAAAATTCTACTGTTCCTACAACAAAATGTCTATTTATCTTACCCTATGTTCTTAGTGGGAGGAGTGATATGGATGGCGAGCAATACTTGATTATCTAAAAATATTAAACAATTCTGGGACATAGACCTACTGCTCTTGTAGCAAAATAGCTGTAACGGTAACACTATGTTCTTAGTAAGAGCGGTGATGTGTTGGGCGGTATTTGATTGCCTGAAAAAAACCAGTAACTTCGGGATAAAACTTCTACGCTTCTTATAAGCAAATAATTGCTTATGCTTTGTTCTCACTAAAAGTGGTGTTATAGTCATCGTCTGGAAAAACAAATTACTCCAGAACACAAACCTACCTACCACTCCTGTAACTTAATGTTGTTGTTGTGGTGTGTAGGGATCTATCAAGCAAATAACATGAAAGGTGTTACAAAGACATATACATAAGTTACGATATAGATAGGTGAGTGTAGTGTGAAAGTGGAACAGATGGTTTAGGAGTAAGAATGGATTGGGAAACTGTGAAGTTTAAATTAATGTTAACCAAGGTCAAGGTTAGAAAACCTGCCCACTTCAATGGAAAATGTACAAACTTCGATAGGATTTACGCTAATGTGTGCCTTGGGACTTTGGTTTTAGTACAACCGTGGCACAGTGTGCCAAAACAGAAATTAGTTGATCAAAATACTGTATTTTCTGAACCAGTAGAGATATTGTAATGAAATTTTGCTAAAACTTTGTTTTTGAGATGGCCTTTCTTATTGGCCAAAATAGTTCATTTTTACATTTTCTTAGTTACCTAAAAAACTATGAAAGATAGAAAGTTTGTGATTTTGCAAACCCATACAATACATTTAGTACTTATTCAAATTTAGTACTTATTACATTTTTTTTAAGAGCTTATATTGATGGCTGTTCGTCCACCTTTATGACCTCACTGATGTTAACGCCATTGCAATAGATGTTGATTTATCTATTATAAAAAAAAACGCGAAGACGAATGCATTTTAGAGCGAGGATTTTACTAAACATGATATCATTGGAATAAGATATTCCATGGACAGGAATTATTCATGCTCTTTCAAGAAGCATTTTAGATTCTGCATCAAGAATTTGAATATATGACATGCGATGGCAGTCAGTCGTAATTCGTCACTTAATAACTGATTGCGCTATGTTCTAATTAAAATCTTATTAACTTGTCATTTCGAAATCAAATATATCATATCCTAGATTCACATAATATTTTTGTTGATTTATTCGGTAATCAGTCCACCTGCTAAATCGCAAAAGGGTGGTTTTGTAAACCAATTTGAAAACAACAAAACATACATAGATAATTTAATCCGACTTAGCGATGAATATAGATTAATTTTTGCCGTGTGTGTAGACTATTAGAAATGGTACTTATTTTTTTTTTTGACTATCCATTGTATTTGTATTTTTAGTTACTTTTCTGTTCACTTATTTTTTATGATCAGATTTGTTTGCATAAAATATTTTTGTAATTATACTTTTGAGTGTTCTGCGATTGTCACATATGTGCAAGAGTATTGGGTAATTGCATCGATATGGCTTTTTCTGTTTTCAAATTTAAAATTAACATTTTCAAAAAAACGGTTTGTGTTCATGAAAATAATTCGCTAAAGAAGTTGAACTTTAAACGTTAAAATTCAGTCCTCAAAAAATGTTTAAATGATTAGGTCAAGCGTTTGCATTGTCAAATGGTCGATAAAGTCTACTTGAAAAGTGACGAGATATATAATATCGAGTACCATGGAAACTATTAAAATTGCATTACTTTATTTGACTTTTGAGTATAAAATTTATTTAGTGGATTACTATTAGTTTGCGATCTTTATTTAATTGAAATTACTAACAAATGTGATATCAGAGACTATGAGCATCATTTGTTTACAATAAATACGTACAAAAAGGATAAAGTCATAGTTAATTTATTTTATTGTTTATTAAGTTATTCTTTCATGTGACTTACAATTTTTTAACACATTAAACTATATAATTTATTTACATATATGAGTGAATATAATTTTAATAAAATATTTTATAATCCTTTATGCGTACACGAATGTTTAAATTATCTCATTAAAATTACCATCCTTCATAAATTTAAATTAAATTAATTATTAATATCGCTTAATAATTTGCTTCTATCTGTACAGTACGATATCATGTATGTTGTAATGCATGGTGTATACCAGCGGTTCTTAGCACATTCCACATTATTTTTTAAACCGAAATTCGTACGATTACCATAGCACCTTAATAAGTTAATATTCTTCTTCAAATAGTTTTTTGTAAATTTAGTACGATTGGGTTTGGGTTCAGATTTTACAACCTTCTCGTGTTCTTTTGGTTGTATATTGTATAAGATGTCTGAGGTGGTGGTAAAATTATTCCTAAAACATTCGGCAGTCTTAAATTTTATATTAGATGAAAAACCATTTCTACTGTTTTCCAAACCAACACGTTTCCAATCAATAAAATTTTTGCGTAATGAGTCGTAAGGTACTCTGATTTTATAGGCATCTTGGTATCTAGATTTAAAATTTAGGCATTCAGACATGTTAGAACAAGGCACAATGCCGGGATTATGGAGATGTCTGCCTATACGTTGTTCAAACCAGTTTCCTACCAATATATTTTTAGTGTATTTTTCTGCGCTGGTGATCCAACTGCTTCTATCGTAACGTAAATCATTCGAAAAGCTCGTCATACTCGTAATTTATTTAATTAAATCTCAAAAAAATTCTCTAAAAATGTAAATATGATGATACTTAATAATGAGACTTACAATTTTGTTACAATTTTGTTACAATTTTTTTTAAAATATAATTTTACATGTAAAGATTAAAAATATTTAAAAAAAAAAAATTGACATTTCGATTAAACATTTTTAAAGCAAGTAATAATATTATTTAATGATAATTAAATAATAATAATTTTTATTTATTGGATTATGTGAAATGAATCTAGAATTGTACGAAATCAAACTGATGGTTTATAACTCAATTAATAAAAATTACTATAAACCATTTTTGTTTTATAGTTAATAATAATTAATATTAATTGTATTTCTCTACCGATATTTTTATTACTCAATAAATTGAAATAAAATGTATGATTAAATAGAATTTACGGTACTATTACGAGGAATGGTCATGTTAGAACTTAATCATTTTAACATGACTATTCTTCTATCCCTTATTACGACGAATTGTGGAATCAAAACGGTATTTTTTTTGCCAATGGAAGAGGATTTGTTCATCCCTCCACTTCACTTAACCTAAACTAAGTTCCAGAAAAAAACTTTAAAATAAAATAATTTTTTAGTCATTAAAATGAATGAATTTTTAAAGTATTTTTTGGAATTAATATATACGTCAAATATTCAAGCAAAAGACAATGCTCTGAATAAAAATCTTATGCCCAGGTCTATTTATTTATACGTTTTGATTGCTGGATGAAAATGCTGAGGTAAACATTTTTATAAGATATAGATGACCTATTGTTTTTGTATGACTGCTTCAAAATATAAATATACCACGTCCTCAGCACACGATACTATTTGTGATTATCATACAAGTAGTTAAGGTTTCACTTCATATTTTAATTAATCTGA